TCATCATACTGAATGTTTATGGAATTCACACAAGGGTAACATTGTTTCAGTGTGTAATGATGCCATACCACAGAGGAACTGCTATGGTCAATCATAATCCAGTCAGGGTCAAATTGGACCACCACAAAGTTTTTTTGTTTTTGTTGTTAGGATTTTAATCTTTATTATTGTCATCAATTATATATATAGTATACTGTCCTTGCTTCTGTTAAAATAAAACCTGAAAATAAAATTCAAATTTTGATGATGTCTGGAGTGGATAGAGACTGTTTGTGCCTTTGATGTGAATAACTCAGCATGAAGATCAATCAAAGTTAGCAATAGTTAATGAAAGTTATCCATACATCCATTATTTGAATCGTTTATCCGCACAAGGGTTGCGGGGTGTGCTGGAGCCTATGCCAGCTGTCTGCCGGCAGTACTCGGGGTACACTCTGAAGTGGTTGCCAGCCAATCCCAAGTAAATGTCAGTCCGTTAGCGTAAATTTTATGACAATTGTTGGCTTGTGAAATATCGTCGATTATAAAGTTCTGTGGTCATTATTACATTTTTCCTATTTTCCTTGATGGACCACAACGTTTTGTGAGATTTGCAGAAATTTCACTAAATGTCCATTTTTCAATGGCAACCTTTCAAGAATTTTGGTCAAACTGTTTCAGAGTTTTTCAACCAAGCCAGATCACTTTTAACAAACAGATCAACTGAACGGTACAGCTGGGTTGCAACAACCAATGGCTTTTATGGCTTCCTGTTTGTTATCATCTTTTAAAATCAGTAAATGATCAACAAACAGCTTGTCTCTTACCTTATTAGTGGCTGTGGCAGAGGAACCCGTGACCACTGGAACATTGGTGACCTGGACCGACAGATAGTCATTATCGATGAGAGGCCACGCCCCCTCCACCTTGCAAGTCTGGAAGCTGTCCTTGAATGTCCTCAAATGGGGGTCCCCGAAAAGCCCGCAGAAAAGGAATCCCTGCCTCGTGTGGGTGTGGCTGTGAGTGTGTGCGTGCGCATGGGCGGGTGTGTGCGCATGCTGAGTGCGGCTGTAGTAGTTGCATGGCTCATGGTGGACCTCGGGGTGCGCGGAGGAAACGGGGCCGTCTCGGGAGCAGTTCCTCTGGCTCATTAAATCCGAGATGCCCAAAACGGCCGAGTGGAAGACCAGGTTGCCCCTGCAGGACTTTGCTGTCCTCTGTGTGCAGGCTGAGTAAGCTCGCAAAGCTTTGCAGAATTCTACGTGAAAGTCATCCACAGCCGGCGTGAGGTGAGAGGTCAGGGAGACAAAGTCAGTGGTGCACTTATGGATGCGACACTGCGGGGTGATCACCTGGCACTGCCCTACAGAGGGGAGAGAAAAATACAATCAGTAACAAGGGTCAGCTGAAAACCTCCTGAAAGATGAACACGTGTCCGAGAATGCTGGACAGGTTGATTGTAGGCAGAAATGCAAAGTTTATGTCCCCACTGAACGCACGTAAAATGACTGCTTGTAGCTGGCTTTGATCTTAAACTCACAAACTGACTGGCTGGTTTGAATCTGATAAAAGAAGAAAAAGAGTCGCCCACCGGCTGCTCAGAACGTTTCGATCAATCAAGCGAAGCCGCACTGTAAGGGTAATAAAGCCCAAGTGTCATAAACCAAAGAGCAGAGAGCAGCAGAAATAAAAAGAGAAAGAATTGTTAAGAATACTGAAGACTGTAAAAGATAAGGCCACGTTTATCGGGAACCATAAAACGCTACTACAAATCTCACCACACCGTGTGTGAAATCGATAGAGACATGTTGGCTTTCCAGGCGAACTTGAGAATTTTCTGATGACTGTTTACTCAACACATTTGAAAAGTGTGCAGAATCTGCACAATTCACCCCTTTGTCAAAATCAGATTCTTTTTTTTTCCAATCTCGACAGACGAAGACACAATGTTAACAATAAATAAATAGATAAATGGATGGCTGGATAAGCAAAGTCAACCACAGTTGACATTCCGATTGATTGAAATCTTGCCGAGTTATTTGGCGGAAAAAAACAGTGACAGCAGCGACATGTGAACCAGGGATCATGAACTACAATCTCGCAGCAGGTTCAGAAGAAGCAAGAAACCTCCCTTGACTTTATGGAAGGGAATTATTTGATACAGTCGACTTCAATAATGGTTTGGGGCAAATAAGTTGAGACCTAGCCTAAAAACTGACAGATTGTGGCCTCAGAAATGGCTGCCATTTGGAGTAGATATGAATCTAACATGTTGCTACACCTAATTTAATAGTCTTAGTAAAGTTACAAAACTTATTGCGTTACTTTTTGACAAAACAAAGTTGGGCAAAATACACAGCTGCAGAATATTTATCTTCGGGAAAGACAACAGCAGACAATTGTCGCTAGGCAGCAGAAGTGAGTAACATGACATGCGAGTCATTGATCGCCACACCAAATTCAGACACGGTCTGGTCCATGCGTGGTTTTCACACGAAACTCAACGACAAGTTAGCGAATAGAGTGTTCCCTCGTGTATCGCGGGGGGGTTCTATTTCTATTTACAACCACTTCATTAAGATGCTAAAAGTTCAAATGTTTTAGTGCCATTGAGTTTTATCGCAATTTTAGTGACTATATTTTTCTTGCCAATTGGAAAGTTTAGCCACATGGGCGGCTGTTAGTGACAGAGCGTGTCTGTGTGTGGCAGAGTGGCGGCGTGCGGTGTTAGAAGGGTGAAAGCGGAGGTGGGATCGTACGGGGTGAGAGCCATAATTTCATTCTTAATTTCGATAGATAGATAGATAGATAGATAGATGGATAGATAGATAGATTAGATACAATGCATGCAATTTTGTCTGTGTCCCACTTGAAAGAAAATCTGGATGGTTGTTTTTCCACATTGCTTCATTTTTGAACGCAACAAGAGTAAATCGGACGTTTTTGTAACGGTGGAGTGAGGGAGGGCAACTGGAGAGCAGATCTAATGCATCCGTCAAAGCATGCCTCTATTAGATTAGGCCAGAGAGGAGAAGGGCTCTGCAGTGAATGATCAGCTGCAAACGCACATTCAGAGACAAGAGAAAGAATGCCGGTTTTGCATTCATTTAAACCTCATAAGGTGGTATGATCTCCTCAAGGCCAGTCGGGAAAAAAAAAAAATCAAAATTATTCAGCTGAAATCAACAAATTCTTCAGACGTCACACCACCAGTTAACAATATTAGATCTGGCTGACACAAAAACAGGCACACAAGCTTGCCTTTGTACACGTTGGGTTTTTTTTTTGGGGGGGGGGGCATGAAGGAGTCTGTACCACCATTTGGGGGCAGTAGTGCTACGAGTTTACAAAACAGTATGAGGGGATGAATATCTACCTCACTTGGCTGTTAAATAGTGACACCAACCCATACACACATTCGGTGGCCGTCCGACACTGTGAGTACTGAGGACACGTTGTCCCTGACTGAATTAACCCGACTTCTGTTCCTATGTGCAGGCAGCACAAAAATACAGCTCATTATCTTATCAATGAGGATTTATTCCCTTTCAGAAGGCATCATTATCAGGAGCGGTACTAACACTAACAAAAGCCCCCCTTGCGCCACCAGACGCGAGCAGAGTGACGGAGCAATCCAATGGGAACAGAGATCAAAGCTGAACAAAGAAATGCTTTTGCAAAAACGGGATCTTGCTATGACGAATAACAACTGTTTGGGCACACTTGGAATGTAAACCGTGCTCCTCTGGTTTGTGCTTCAACTGTAGTTGCGTTCCGGAAAACTGTCTATTCTGAGATGCTCATCCTCAGATATGCCTAAACAGACTGGCGCGCGCACACACACACACACACACACACACACACACACACACACACACACACACACACACACACACACACTTTTTTTGGGGGGGGGCACTCAGATGTGTCAAGTGACCAGGGGATAGGCAAAATTTTTTTTTGTGTTGAGATGAATTTTAAAGTGAATATGCATTGAATGATTTATGTTTTGATTTATGAAAAAAAAGAAAGATTTTATAAATGTTAATTAGACCGTATAAGTTGAAAGAGGGTGGCACGGTAGTCGACTGGTTAGCACTTCCGCCTCACAGTGCAGAGGTCATGGGTTCGATTCCGGCTCTGGCTTTCCTGTGTGGAGTTTGCATGTTCTCTCCCATGCCTGCGTGGGTTTTCTCTGGGTATGCCGGTTTCCTCCCACATTCCAAAAACATGCATGGCAGGCTGATTGAACACTCTAAATTGTCCCTAGGTGTGAGTGTGAGCGCGGATGGTTGT